ACCATTTTGTATGTTACTTTTTATGTAATTATAACCATTTTCTTTCTTTTTGATTTTAGTTTCAGGGCTAATTTCTGATTTAAACAAAAAGTTTGCAACTTTTATAATCTTAATGTTCTCCATATGACCTCTAGATAAATCGGCATTGTCTGCATAATTTTCAGCCATATTGATATTACTTTTATGAAGTTTATTTCCAATAGTATTTTCCGTATGATCTTTAGTAACATTAATGTTCTCCGTAAAATCTTTAGTCTTGTCAACATTCTCTGTTTGATATTTATTAACATTCTCTGTTTGATTTTTATCAACACTCTCTGTTTGATATTTATCAACACTCTCTGTTTGATACTTAGTCGTTTTTATATTTTCCATTTTATCTTTATTTATATCAAAATTATCTAAATTGATTTTAGTGATATTTTTATTTTTGGTATATTTCTCTGTAGAATTATTGTGTAATGTAGTAATGGTTTTATTATTTTCTGAAGGATCTTTAATCATATTCTCAGCACAAATATTAGTCAAACTTTTATTCTCGGTTAAATCTTTAAAAATTTGAACATTACCTGCATAATCCTTTAATAAATTTTCAGAAGATAATGACAAACGAGGTTGGATTTTTTCATAGATGTCATGTTTTTTATTCATATATAACTTCTTTAGAATCCGCATTTCTGATTCAAGTTTTTTTATTTTTAGTTCAAGTTGAAATATATATTCTTCTTGAACCAATATTTTTTCTTCGCATAAATCTATAACTAGTTTTTGACGAGAACCTTCCAGCACGTTGAACTCTTTTTGAAATTGAAAGCTTTTATTTTGCTCGGGTGGTTTTTTAATAAATAAATTTTCTTTGCTTAACACGGTTTCTTTTTCACGTTCTGCAAGGGTTTCAACTCTACTGCTGCGTGAAACTGCAGCTTTATCTTTAAAGGCAAAAGTTGTTAAAGAAATTAATTTTGGCTCGCTATGCAAACCCAAGTTAGAACTTGACTGTATCGGATTTAGTTGGTGCCAATCTTGTTCAGAATTCATTTTTTTTTTAACTCATTTAATAAAAAAAGTTTTTAAATAATCCAATATCACTTCCTTTCAGATCAATTTGACGTCATATTTGCTAAACAGTAGTATAGATTAACATAAAAAACAACAACAACAAAATAACCGCATACTTTATACGATAAAAGAAATAAGGAAACAAAAGTATTGTTAAAATATTGTTGTATTTCAAATTGACAAAAGTCTTTTTTTTTTTGCTATGAGAAAATTAAAAAACCGGTATCACTTTGCAATTTCTTTAGTTAAATGATTTGGTTTGATGACTTGGTGACTTTATTACGTGACTTTTGTTATACGAAATTGGTTTGGTGACTTAGTGACTTGGTAACCTGAATTTGGTACATTTTGTACCATTATGTACTGACTTACACAAACTCAAAAATCTTGGATTATTGATCATTTGGTAAATTATTATTTGAGATGGTCATGAGTTTAAGTATTTTGTACCAAAATGTTTAATCTTACACCTAATCAAATAATATTAGATTATTGATTATTTGATTAATTATCATTTGAGAAACCCACTCACTGTGATACCCTAAAGATGCTATTGCCATTTTGAAATGCAATGCCATCTAGGGATCATCGATACATTATGCAACGCTAAGTTTATTTAAAAAGCTAAAGTTGATGATCTTCTGATCTTTTACGCGGCAATTTTCGTTAAACTTAATGCTCTATTTTAATTTTTCTTATAATTTAAGGCTTTACGAGGGAAAACTTTTTATCCTTTTAGTTTTGTTTATTTGTGAAATAAAGCGTTGCCTAGTTTATGGACGATCCCGTACGTCAAATACAAGTTTAGGCAAAAATAAAAAACAAATGCAAAAAAACTTAATTTAATATATTTTATATAATATAAAGGAAATCAATTATTATTTGTTAATATTAATTGATTTCATTTTAAATATTTACTAAATGAACATTTCTAATAATTATTTTGAAAGTATAAATTTCGTTAAAAAAAACATTCTGTTTTGTTTATTTTTGCGCTGTGGACCTTTTTTCTGATTTTGTAAGTTTGGAAAATAGTCCTAATTATGTAAACTCATTGCTAAATGAAATTTGCATTCTTATGCTTGCTCACCTGACCTTGTAAAACCTTTCTTAGTGCTGGATAATCTCACACTTTTCAGCAAGATAATCAACAAATTCAATTATTTGCTTGAAAACAGACTGAATTTTTCGTGTAATTGACTTTTAAGGGCTAGATAAGTATATAAGTTTATATAAGTTTTACAACTTCAATTCCTATTTTTCACTTTCGAGCAATTATTCTGAATAAACCTTGTAAGAACGTCAACGTCAAAATCCAGTGAATAAAGTCCTCATTAGCTGCATTTATTGTTTGCAATCAAACAACCGAAGTTTTCAATGATACATTTTCATTAGTATTAGTGAAACAATATTCTCTAAAAAAAAAAAAAAAAAAAAAAAGCAGCAAAAAGTACACTTGATTTAATAATCAGCGAGAATTTCCATATTTCCAAAGCTCTCCATGCATTTACAATATGGTTTATAACGATAAACAGCAGAGGTTAATTTGAGATGATAAACAAATTATCAAACATTTTATTTGACTAAATTCAGAATTTCAAAAATGAAAATTTTAAGTGTGTTGTTATATTGCTCAATTTGTACAAACAATGTTAAAAAAGTTATTACTGTATAATTTCAGGGATCAGGAGAATGAACTGATAGTTTTATTATTAAACTACTTGTTGGCATTAAATGCCAACAAGTAATTCAGGACAAAAATTATCATTTCTTTAAAAAATAAAATTATCAATTCCTAAAATCACGGGCTTCCATGAAATCATTACTGCCTACTATTACTGCCTACTCACTTACTTCCATGAAATCATTACTGCCTAACGTTGTTTATTCAAAGCTCTTTTATTAAGTTTAGACTTTTTAAAAACCCTAATGTTTTATTTAAAAATAGAACTTGACAGATTCGAATAAATTGTTTTAGGTGATATCTGTTTCAAATCTTTAGATATCACCAGCGGCGTCAAGGAAGATTCAGTTTTTGGACAAATATTGTTTAGAGTACGCATGATAAGAAACATCAGTATGAGAATTTATCAGCGTCATTAGTTTCTGAAAAGTATGTACTACAAAAACTCTAAGTGTTGTTTCTAAACATTATGCAATCAACATTCACTAGACATCATAAGCAGAATTGTGATCTGAGCCCATACTTAATGGAGTTTAATTCAACCAAATATGAAATCAATGATTAATAATGAAATTAATAATTCTAATTCTAAAAATTAAATACACTGAATGAATGATAATTAAATCAAATTAAAAAAAAAATTGATATACTGACTATAACTTACGTCTATATAATTCATATAACTTACTATAGTCTGCATTCTTTGTTTAATCATTACATCTTAAAAAAGTTAATGCGTTTTGTTAGCGTTTAAAAAAACGCAACAACAAGCTGCTAAAATTCCACACCATATGATGGGCTTTAACTAAAAAATAAAATGTGTTTAACTTAAATTAAAATCTTTTTTTATTAATTATTTATAGTACTGACAGTTAACCAAACAGTGTATAAAAATGAATGCATCATTAAAAGTTTGATTCTTTTTATTAAAAAGCATCACAGTGATGATAATTATATATTTTGGATTGACTTGACCTCTTCACACCATGAAAAAAGTGTAACCAGTTACCTGAATAAAAAAAAAATATTCATAATGTTAAAAAAATTGATAATCCAGCTTTTATTTTTTTTAAGTTCGTTTGTGTAGATGTGTACAGAAAAATTGACGCAGTAAATCGTAATGGCGACAAAAATTTTTTTTAAAAGTTTATTACGAATGTAAAAAATAAACATATTGCTTACTATTCTGTAATAATTTTTGTTCATTAAAGTTTTCTTTGCACTATTATTACTTGTATTTATTTTGTATCAAACTTTTGTCGCAAAGTGTTGCTTGTAAAAAATAGTTATCTATTTTATTAGCAACGCTATATCTATTTCTACTTGTTATTTTTATGCAGAACCGTGGCTAGGCTATTTGACAACAACTACTTAGACGAAGATAGCCTAGCGAATTAAGCGGGTCTATTTGCAAATTTAGGGGTTCTTTTGGAAATTTATGGAGCTCTTTATTTTAGTAATGCAAAAAATTTTTAATTGAAAAATTAAAAATAATTTTTTTTTTAAGTTTTTAGTAAGAAATTTTTTTTGGAAAAAAAGGTGAGGGGGGGGGGGGGAAGGGGTTTTTGACCCAATAGCCACGGCCCTGTTTATACATATATTTTTATATTCGTTATAAAGAATTTTTTAAAGGTTATGAAGAATTTTTTAAAGGGGTCGGATATAAAGCTAAATGTACCTTTTTCATACACAATCCATTAATTTTGATATATATGCAATGTAAACATTCTTTAACAGCGAAATACACACACACACAAAATGTACCTTTTTCTTACACAATCCATTAAATTTGATATATATGCAATGTAAACATTTTTTAACTGCAAAACACACACACAAAAAAAAATGTGTTTTTTATCAAGCCTTTAGCATATACAAGTTAAAATTTGGCTTGACTGATTTAAAAGTAAAACATGTGGTTGCTTAAACGTTATTAATCAGATCATAGCGGATTCTAGACACATCATAGCGGTTTCTAGACAAATCATAGAGGGTATTTATGGTAAAACTCATTTAGCATTGAGCCTAAGAGATTTTAACCCAGTTGTTGTTCGAGTTCAGACACGAAATCTTTACTCTTTACAACTTTAGCACAAAAAAAGATTTATTTTAAATCGCTAATTCTTTGACTGATTCAGCTTTCAAAAAAATTTGCAGCCACCTAAATTTAATAAACTTTTAGGGTATGCATGAATAATTGCATGAGAAATTATAATCAAAATTATTTAACAAATCATTAAAAAAATTATCTAACAAATTATTAACAAAATTATTTAAAAATCCAAAAATAGATAAAAAATAAATAATCACTCTAATTTAAATTCGTTCGGGGTCTTGCTGCCTTAAGTTGTTGCGTACAAAAAAATATCCCTTCTCGCCTTTTATTTATTAAACTCTTACAATGTAGATTCTGCAACACCCGTTTAAATTCTCAACGTTATAAAGTTTTTTAGATTTATAATGTAACATTATGTGAACATATTCATAAATAAACAAATGTTCACGCAGTATTTATATGCTAATATTTCTGTCTCTTATTTTAACACTTTAAGACATCAAAACTTTTCGAGTGGAATCACTGTAAGTAGATCCAAATGTGAATCGTTGCTCTAAAATAATTATCAATAATCAATAGTAATATAGTGTTTAAATTTTTACTATTTAAATATGAATATGATCAACTCAAAAGCTGCATCAAGAAACATAAATTAGTTTCTGCAATGCATTTTAATATTGCACCCAACTCCTTTTTTAAAAACCAAAAACATCACTTACGAGGAACATGCCCAGTATAATGAGGAATCATACCAGCATCTTTCAACAATACAGAACCAAGTAAACTTTCATCACTTGATTGTAATGGATCAGTAGAGCTAAAATAAAAAGATTTATTTAATTGGAGGGGGGGGGGGGGGGAGTGACATTACAAACTTAAAAATAAGTCTTGTTTTTTATAATTTGTCAACTACCTCGTCGACATTTGCCGACCAACTTGTCAATTTATTACCACATATTTTTTGTCTACATATTTTTTATCTAAAGTATTAACAAATTGCGCTTTTTTAAAAAGAATTTTAATCGTAAAAGTCAGTAGAAAAGCAATAAAATGTTTCATTTTCATTTAATAATAAAGAGCAAACAATTTGAAAAAAAATTTTCTTAAAGACGTTTTTTATTTGTAAATTTATGGCAAACATAATACTTTAAAAAAATATTAATAACACTAAATACATCTAACACGTGATCATCAAACAACTAACACGAGATCATCTAATTCATCTAACATAAGAACACAAGAAGGTTAATTCTCAGTAGTTTAACTTTGATATTAACTCTCCGCAATTTTAAACGAAAAATATATAACGTAAAAAAAGTAAACAAACTAACGATTTGTTAAATGTCGTAGAGCCTTGATTGTTTTTACGCAATAAACTTGAAGAATTTTTGGCAATGTTTAAATCTTCATATGCATTTTTAACCCATTGAGTATAACTGCAACCAAGCATGTGCTTTTCACATTTTGGAACATAACCTTGGTATCCCGAAATCGGCGCTTTAAAACACGACTTAATGCCTTTATCACCTTGAAATTTATGAATAGTTTTAATATAAAATACGCTTGTCAAAAATAAACTAAAGCTAACCAAATATTTCTTACCCCCATCTTTCACAACAAAATTACCAGTTTTATACCGAGAGTGTCTGGTCTTAGGATAAAGATTCTTTATTTCAAGTTTTTCATAGTTTTTAACTGTCTCCATTAAATGCTTTTCAGCATTTTTTTTAAGAATTTCTCTCCACCTAAATTCATACATTGCTTCCTCTGATGTTCTTTTAAATGTTTTCCCATATTTTAGCATATGCTGTGGAATATACCCTAAGTACAAAAATAAAAATGCTTTGATTATTTTGAAAACGAAAAATAGTAATATAAAGTTACTATATACAAATTTTTGAAGTAAATTATGTAAGCAATCAAAAACTTATAACAGTTTAACAAAAGTTGTAAAATAAATAATTTTATTAAAGCTGTTATACAAAAGAATAAACTTGATTTAATATTAAAAAATATATTTAAAACGTTTAAATCTCACTTATTTCTTATTATAATTTTTGCTTATCCATTTCACTTATTGCTTATTAAATTAAGTGGAGCAATTCTAAATACTTCTGCATAAAATACAATAAAAACTTTTAACAAAAGTTTTTATAATTATTCTAAATCTGAAATTACAAATTAAAATATAGCAACAATTTTGTTATATATAAATATATATATATTAACAAAAAAAAAAGTACCTAGAATTACTAAGAATTTTGAAGAAATTGCTTTAACCTATCCTTTAACAATACTCAAAGTTTTTAAATCAACTTTTAACATTTGCATTTCAAATTTTTTTTTTTAATTTGCAAATCTTTTACCTTAGCATTTGGAAAGTTCAACTGACCTACTTGCACTTTGTGAGACAAATTTAAATTTGTTTAATCTTTAGATCATAGTGTTGATGGGTATTATTCTTTGATTCACAAAGACTCCAATAGTCAAATCCTTGACCTGGGCATAAACTTATGCATCAATTCAATTATTTGTTGTGAAAACAGGTATGAATCCTCTGACTATTCTTGCTTTCACTAGACACCTTTTCATTCAACAACCTTCCTCTAAGACAGGGTTGGAAAAAACCCAACCCAAATGGGTTTTTTTGGGTTTTATGGGCTTTTTGGGTTTTTTTAAAAACCGATCAAAATACCAAATTTTTATAATTGTATGAGTACAATATATTTTTTTTTAATTTCATAAAGTCACCTTCCTATTGCTCCAATGACCACTTCAGTCAAGGGAGCAACTCATTTTTTAAAAATATTTTGTCTCAAACCTTAACATTACCATTTTTACTAACAAACAACATTAACAACTAAAATTTTTAAACAAAGGCGCTGTGCAGAGAAATAGATTGAGCACAGTAATTTCAGCAGAGGTAATTTGAACCCCAACCTTCTGGTTGCGAGCCAAATGTTTTACTACTAGTCTACTAGCACATTTTACCTATAGTGCAAAAAGGGACTCCATCAACTATAAATGATGTTAATTAATTGCACTAAATTAAAAATACGTTCAGAATATTTTTGACTAAAAAAAAATCAGTATAAAAATTATTATGACAATTGAGTTACTCAAAGTTGGTAAGACAATATAAATGTTGCAAACTAGTTTTTTTTACTAACATGTTCAACATATCATTTCAAAAACTATTTTGCACAAGTTTACAACATGTAATCAACAAGTTTGCAACATGATGTTGCAACCTTATAAGTTATTATGAATCAAGTTGACTATGAACACTTTTTAAACATTTTTGTATCATAGAAGAAAACTGCTAGCCTAATCACTACATTTTTTTTTTATCAGAACATTATACTGTCCAGCTTCCTGAAAAAGTTATCCACCTGATCAACTGGACTGGCAAAAAATGGATTTTTGCCTAAACTTTAGTTGTTCTTAAAATATCTAAAATAAATTTGTTAAGAACCATTACAGTGTCTTTGCCACCAAGTTTTTTTTTTTCCTTGAAGATGTTTTACTGGCTCAGTTTTGCAATGCAAATTGCAAACTGAATCAAAGTAACACATTATACAGCTCTATTGTGTGTGTTTCTTCACCTGTTAGCAACTTGATACTGATGTTAATTTTCAACCTGCTGTTTATAGTCACCCTTGTTGGTGGTACATGTTGTAAACAAGTTTTCAACATGTTCTCTCATTGAATGAGCAAACATGTTGCAAACTTGCTTGCACATAACTTAATTTTTTTTAAGTTTTAAAGTTGTATGTACTTAAGGACAAATCTAGTAAACTGTAGCATTTTTTTTTTGCCTGACAACTTTCCATTTCTAAACTGTAAATAAAGTTTAATAACTTTTATATATAGTATTTTGCTTGTGGCTTTCTACTGAAATTTGCAGTTTACAACATAAGTTTTAAAAAATAAAAGAGAAAATACCAATATAAAGGAATATAGACATCCGAGAGGAGAATAAAGATACTAAATAACTAGTAATGTCTTGAAATTTAGTTAATAGAATGATTTTTATTTCCTTTATAAGTATTTAACTAATTTAATGTTTTAATACATATTTCAATAACATTCATAATAACTTGCTAAATGTTTAAAAATAATAATAAATAACCAACTTGCTACAAAAACAGATTGATTGGTTTTGGGTATATTCAAAATACCATTATGTATATAAATATAGATATATTGCAACACTACTACTAAGTCCTCAGATTTACATCATTTTAATTCATTACTGACCTTTTATGAAATCCATATATACAATCTTTGAGTTTAAAAATTTGTATCTCTGTAATGTGCTTGCAATTTTCTTACTCCTGATTCTATCCTCCTCCTCTATAATTCTCTTATTGTCTCTGTATGCATTTCAGTTGTCATATTGAGACTGGTTTTTCATATGATCTCCTTTCTCTTCAAGACAAGGCCCAAAAACCCATTGTAAATCTAGTTAAACCTGCAAGAACATTAGAACATTATAGCTTCTCACCTACTTTTATGCTTTCATGATTCATACAACTTACAGTTGTATAAGTCTTTTTTTTGCTCTTTAATTTTTTGCTTTCTATTAACTCCCAAATTTAATAGTGATTGATTGCACCCTTTTTGGAAAAAAATGTTTAAAGAAACAGCAAGACATTGTTTTTTTATTAATTATTTAAAAAATTAAAAACTAACAATTGAATAAAAATACTAAAATTTGTTTAGTATTTTTATTAAATTGTTAAAAGTAACTATAGATTGGATTATTAATTGATAAACAAAACTAATACAAGTTTCCAAAGTAAATATGTCTTAAGTTGTTTAAAAAGTATAAAATATAGCCTTAATTAAACTAAAATGTAAAAAAAAAATGTATAGTTGAATAAAGTTGTATAACAATATAGTAGTAAAAAGTTGTATAACAAAGAATCGGGAGGCTGAATAAGCACAAATTAGCAAATAAGTGCAAATAAGTGCAAACTGACATATGTGCAAATAAGTGCAAACTGACATATGTGCAAATTGGCATAGGTTCGCCAAAAGATTTTTGCAAACATTGGCATAAGTACAAATTGGCATAAGTACAAACTGGCATAAGTGCAAAGCAGTTAAAAAAACTAGCACAAGTGCGAACTGGCATGAGTGCAAATTGGCATAAGTGCACTGAATAAATTTGTAAAAATTGGCACAAGTGCGAATTGGTATAAGTGTGAACTGGCATATGTACGGAGCAGTTAAAAAAACTGGCATAAGTGCAAATTGGCATAAGAGCCCCAAATAAAACTACAAATATTGGCTTAAGTGCAAATTGGTATTTCGCACTTATGCCAATTTGCACTAATGCCAATGTTTGCAAATTTATTTGGTGCATTTATGCCAGTTTGCATTTATACCAATTCGCACTTATACCTGTTTTTGTAACTGCTTTGCACTTATGCCAGTTTGCAATTATGCCAATTTGCACTAATTCCAATGTTTACAAATTTATTCAGCGCACTTATGCGCTGTTCTATATCAAGTTCTTTAACAAATTTAAAAATGAATAAAGTAACAAAAACTATAAAAGACAAAAAACCAGTCATAACCAAGTTTGCAAGATTAATTTGAGTTCAGCTGTCTCATCTTGTGATCTTAGTGTTGATGGTTATCTTCCTTTAATTCGTAAAGACTCCAATAGTCACATGCTTGGCCTGGGCATTTACATTCGTAATAAATCACCCATTTGTCGGGAAACTAGGTTTGAATCCACAGACTACTCTTTTATGTGCTTTCGTTTAGCACAATTTCACTTTATCACCTTTCTCTTTGTTGTATATTGCTCTCCTTAATCTCAACACTGCACTCTTCTTGATATTATTTCTGATCATATTGACCAAGCCTTCTCTCTGAATCCATCAGCCAATATTGTTGTTGTTGGTGACTTTAATATTCATCACACTGAATGGCTTGGATCTAGTGTCAATGACTCTGCAGGCATTAAAGCCTACAACTTTTGCCTTACCAACGCCTAACACAAATAGTCAACTTTCCAACTCGCTTTCCAGACAACCCGAATCATTTACCTTCTCTACTTATTACCCTACTCAATTTATATCCTGTTTCTGATCCTAGTCAGTGCTCAGTTTCTCCACATTTACCCTTAGGTGCTTCCAATCATGGATTGATCTCTCTAAAACTATTATCTCATTCTTCTTTATCATCAGAATCCCCCTATCATCATACATCTTACAACTAACTTAAAGCTGGCTGGGACTCTTTGCGTGATTTTTTTTTCGTGATGGCCCTTGGGTAGAAATGGTTTGTCTTCCTGTTGACAAATGTGCTTCTTACATAACTTTGTAGATTCAGGCTGGTATGGAAAACTTTATTCGTTCTCGACGATTCTAGGTCAAGCCTCACTCTTTGCATGGTTTTCCTCACATTGTGCTGCTGCAATTGCCAATCGAAAACATTACTTTCATATCTATCAGAAAAACAATTCTCCAGAAAACAGACGCCTGATTATTACTGCTAGAAACCATTGTAAAAAGGTTTTGTCTAACGCCAAAGCACGCTATTCTCAGATCATGAAATCTCGTATTTCATCACAAAAATTAGGCTCTCGTGACTTCTAGAGAATCTTTAATAGTATCAATAATAAGGGCAACTCTGTAATTCCACCTCTTTTGTATGGTTCAGACTTTGTCATCTCACCTGACAAATTCTGAAATCTCAAAGACAAAGCTGAATTGTTTGCTAAGAACTTTTCATCAATATAATCTCTTGATTCCAATAGCTGCGTTCTACCTGATATAGCTGTCAAACAAGTTGATTCATTGCTTGACATCCGTATCACTTCAGCTTCTATATCAAAGTGATTTCTTGCTTAGACTCTTCTACAGCTTGTGGCCCGGACAACATACTTGTTATAGTCTTGCAAAAGTGTTCTCCGGAGCTGTTGCCTATCCTTTCAAAACTATTCAACAAGTGCATATCAGATTCTTGTTTTCCAGCCTGCTGGAAAGCAGCATCTGTTATCCCTATTTTTAAAAATTCTGAAGAGCAATCTTATTCGTCTAACTACCGTCCCATTAGTCTTTTTCCTATCATAAGCAAGGTTTTTGAATCTTTAATTAACAAACACTTAATCTCTCATTTTCAATCTACTATTTTACTTTCTGATTATCAATATGGATTTCGATCTTCTTGTTCTACGGCTGATTTGCTAACAGTAATAAACGATAAGTTTTATGGTGCATTAGATAAAGATAGAGATGTTAAGGCCATTGCTCTTGACATTTCTAAAGCGTTTGATAAAGTTTGGCATGCTGGTCTTCTCTATAAGCTTTCTTCTTGTGGTGTATCTGGAAACATTTTTAAGACTATTGAATCTTTCCTTTCCAATCATATATAAAAGTTGTCCATGATGGATAGCACTCTTCTTCTTATTCTGTAACCTCAGTGGTTCCTCAAGGTTCAATCCTTGGCCCAATACTCTTTTTAATTTACATTAACGATCCTCCAGATATTCTCACATCTAAGGTGGCATTGTTCGCTAATGATACTACCATTTATTCTTCTCAATAAGAAGCCAATTCCCTCTGATTGCTTGCAGGGGGCATTTGTGCTTGAAAAGGATCTCACTTTTGCTACAGCATGGGGCTTACAGTGGCTGGTGAACTTTAATTCAGATAAAACTCAATTTTTTCAGGCAATCGTTTATCGCAATAATTTAGACCTTTCTATATTTATGAACGGTAATGTACTCAATGAGTCATCTATCATTCATCTTCTAGAATTAACTCTTACTCCTGATCTTTTTTGGACCTTATATCAAATCCGTTGCAAAATTAGCATCTGCTAAAGTTGCATCTCTTTATTGAGCTCAACACTTTTTTACTCTGAATTCTATTCTCTATCTCTATAAATCTCAAATTCGGCCTTGTATGAAATACTGTTGCCATATCTGAAGGGAGTCTTCTAATGATGCCCTTTCTCTTTTAGACAAGGTGCAAAAACGCATAGTTAACATAGTTGGACCTGCTCTTGCAGCCAACCTTCAACCTTTGTCACATCGTCGTAATGTTGCTTCTCTTTCTCTTTTCTACAAATACTATAATGGGCACTGCTCTAAAGAGCAAGCATCTCTTGTGCCATCTACTAAAATTCATTCTCGTGTTACTCGTCATTCAATTAAGTCTCATCCTTTTTCTGTTACTGTTCTTAAGTGCTCCAAAAACTCATATTCGTCTAGTTTTTTTCTTGAACATCAGTTCTTTGGAATTCGCTTCCTTCATCTTACTCTACAATCTTCATCTTTTCTCTTCCAGTAACTTACAACACTAATTAGTAGTTGCTTGATGCCTTTAAGTAAAGATGTTTGAAAAAAAAAAAATTGCACTTATGTCAGTTCGCACTTGTACCAGTTTTTGTAACTGCTTAGCACTTGTGCCAATTTGCACTTACCAATGCTTGTAAATTTGTTTGGCCCACTTATGCCAGTTTTTACTTGTGCCAGTTTTGAAACTGCTTCACACTTATGCCAATTCGCACTTATGCCAATGCGCACCTATGTCAGTTCGCACTTGTGCCAGGTTTTGTAACTGTTTCGCACTTATGCTAATTCCCACTTAGACCAGTTCGCAATTATGCCATTCACACTTATACCAGTTCGCACTTAAGAAATTAATGCTTATTCAGTCGTCCCCAAAGAATATCTTATTACTACTAAAATCTTGACATAGAAGGCATTTTAATAATGGCAGCAGAATGCAGTTAATCATAACAATATTGGTTAGTTTTCCCTTTAGGCAGTTTTTCAGGTAGGCTGTTAAGATACAGATGTCTAAATCTTGTTTGAAACCCTGTATACAAACACATACTGTGAACATACAAGCACATACCTGTATACAAACACATAAAAAAATCATACCAGTGTATCCTGGAACAAATTGCTTAGTTTGTAAACAACTTATTTCTTCAGGTAAATTTTCAAAGTTCTTCTTTTTTGAATAAACAGAGATTTTACTATGATTTTTTCCCTCATCTTTCTAAAGTTATTACAATAGATTATTTATAACATAAAAAACAGATACCAGTATAAAACATCAACATCCATAAAAGTTTAAAAGTTATATCATACTAAAAAAATCTCGAGATACAAACTAGAATATAAAACATTATTGAAATACAAAACTAAACACAAAAATGTCTCACTTTTTCTAATTGTTAAATCTCATTAAAAACTAATATCTTCTCACTAAAATACCGGTTTTCATGTATAAACTTCTTTCTATGCTTAAAAAACTCAAACATGACTAGAAACACTTACAGTTATGTCAAAATACTAGATAAAATTTGCATTACAAGTTTACCTTACAAACTTTCCAATCAGAAATTCTTTATCATTTTATACTTACTAAATAAAAGTTCCAAAACTATTGTTAAACAAAACTTTATAATCTAAAATAAAAGTAAAAACTTTTTGAAATAAATTGAAAAAACAAACAATGTAAGCTCAACTACTTATTGCAAATTTATCAAAATGTTCAGATAATTTATTTATTTTAAATAAATAGCTATCATTTTTTTATGCTAATTTTTATTTCCTTCAAAATTTTTTTTTGTACAAATAAAATTATTTTATGTAGTTTTTCAAACAGGTAACAAATATCTACTCATATTTATTTAAATAAATTCTGTCAAACAAAGCATCAAAAATTTTGTAATTATACTTGACAGTAATAGATAAAAAAATCATCATTTTTTTTATCTTAGGTACAAGATACTACATAAAAAACATCTTAGATCCATATCAGAAAAATAGAAAAACAGTCCAAGATATAGTCCAAGATGGTAAATATAGATCTAAGATCTTTTTAAAAAGGAAAAGGTTTCTTATAAATTTTAATTTAACATATACTCTAAAATGTTTTTAGAAAAAAAAAATCAAACGAGTGATAGTATTATTACATTATTTAGTAACTACCACTGAGCTGTTTTAAATATATTTTGGTTAATTTGAAAGTATAACTTTTTACACTTATATTAAACTGAGAAACTTCAACAATGGCAGGATTGAAAAGTCTTGTTTTTTAAAAGGAATGACCTTTGCGAACAAAATTATATTTTCAAGGAAAGAATTACATATTTATGCATGTATGTATGATGTATGTATGCATTTATCTGTGTATGCAGGGGCATTTTTATGAGGGTGTATGAAGGTTTTTTTTGTAGCTATTTTTAACTTATATATATATATATATATATATATATATATATATATATATATATATATATATATATATATATATATATATATATATATATATATATATATATATACAGGGTGTTAGCCAGGAATTTTTTTTTTTACCGCGTTTCTGCGATATTGGGAACATTTATTTTTATAGTTCTACAAAATATGGGGAAACTTTAATTAAATTGTCTTATTATTACAAAAAAAAAAAAAAAAAAAGGTCATTCAATTTTGGGAAATTTAAACAAAGTTTTGGAAAATTTAAACAAATTGGGAATACCGCGTTATACGCGGTGCCATCAGGCTGGCTAACACCCTGATATATATATATATATATATATATATGTATCTTACACATTACCTATAAATATCTATTTAATTTTGATTGTTAGTAGAATTCTAAATTTAAGCTATAGGCATTCAAAACTTGTCATGGAAGGAGCTCCTTCCGTGACATAAGGTTTAATGGTTGTAACAAAGAAATAATATTCCATAAACAATATTCTTATCTGAAACGAAATAGGTATTTATAGGTAGCATGTAAGGTATTATGGGCTCCATCTTCATCATTTAGTTTACCATGGTCACTCTTTTTGAAAAAACATACCTTTCAATCCTACCCTTGTATATACTAATACCTCAGAGAGTTGACTTGTATGAAAACCATATGTATGACCAAAAGAAAACTTGAGCAAAGGCTTATGTCCACAGTAGCTAGTTTTAAAATATAATAAGAACAATATATTAAAATAAATCAAATATAATAAAGTAATAGTGTTTGTAATAAAAAAACTTATGATTATTTTGTGGACTAATGCCTGCATATTTTAAAGTCGTAAATTAATCAGACAGAAATCAAATTTGTTAAAACTTTCAGGCAGAAAGCCAGCTTGCTAAAACTTGCAAAATAAAAAAATAATAATAAAATGTAAAAATTAATTATAATGACTAAAATTAATCATAAATGAATACTTATATAGTTAATTGGAAAGATGATTAAAAAAAAATTAAGAACAGACAGTAGAAGAGACGCAATAAATCTCAAAAAAATATAAAACACTAATATTTAAGTATTAGGAAATGAAAACAGCGTAGCTCCTCTGTAGTTATTTTTAAATAAACTTAACAACTGCAAACTGTGTTTCTGTTTTCCTAAAAATTTGTTTATATAATTAATAAACAGCCCTAATACAGAGAATAACATAAATGGTTAAACTATTTAATGTAAGTTGGTAAGTATAAAGATAAACTCTGCATGCAACCGACTATTTTAAAAGTTGCAAAAAAGTTGCACAATTGCAAATAACTGAATAAATAATGTAGGAGAAAAAAAAAAGATTATAAAAAAGTTAATGTGAATAACAATCAAAAACAAAATTTTTAAGTAAATGTGAAGTGTTATAGGATAATATATTTTGTTAAAATACTCCACAATTGCTCCCTTTAATTTATTATCATAGAATATTTTACTAATAATATTAATGAAAGTATATTACCCAAGAACAATACTTAAACGATTTGGGTTTAAAAGTTTTTCCTTTACAAATAGCGTTTCGCCATCGTTACCAAGCGCCATTATTATTTGTTCTTGTTGCCAAAACAATACGTTTATTTTTCAACAACAAAAAAAACGCAATTGTTTACTTTTAAAAACAATGCAAAGAAACACAGCGAAGACCTAAAATACCAAATCTGTACTTGAGAGCCAACTTGTCTTAACTCCGTTTTTGGGTAAAATGAGTTATATACCTATCTGAAATCTCCATCGCGTAAAAAACTAACTAATCATACATATAGAGTATCATAAATTGTACATAGTGCATGAATTTTAATTTCCTTTTTTTTTTTTTTTTTTTTTTTTTTTTTGCCAAATAATTTTATTAATAATACAAATTTTAACATATTACAAATTTAGCGGCAGGACTTCTAGAAGATCATGAGGATCTTATTATGAAGCCCTTTACAATGCTTTTTAGTATCGAGTATAATATAATATAATTACGTAATATTATAATGAAGTTATAAAAATTCGTAAAATAACAAAAATAATATGAAGTTTAACAAAACACAGTAATAAAAAGTAATAAAATACAAACCATTAAATACATAAGTTTGCAATGAACTCATGGAAATATTCGTAAATAGTAAAACATAATACAATAAAGTATAATATATCAGCAATAAATTGATAAAAACTCAAAAATAGATAAAGATGTTTTCAATTGAAAAGATAATTTCTTTAATTTTGGTTTTGAATGAGGAGTAGTTTAGTTTGATTGAAAAGTCAAAATTAGGTAAAACTATTTTGTTCCAAAGAAGAGGTCCACGATAGGACATAAAAATTTCGTCGTATTTAGTTTTGCAAAAAGGAGCATTAAGATTGTCGTCAATTCGTAAATTATATTTGTTTTTCGGTTTTAAAGAATAAAGATATTGAAATACCTGTGGAGATTTTCTTTACACTTGAACATAAAGCATAAAATATTAAAGATATTAAGTTGATAAACATTTAAAGCTTTCATATCTTTAAGAAGTGGCGCAGAGTGAGTAAGACAATTTTTAAAATTAATTGCGCGAGCTGCGTGTTTCTGATGATTAAAAAGTGTTTTAAGTTTTCTTTTGAGTGCTTCCCCATATAATATTTGCATAGTTTATATGACAGTGAACAAATGAATAGTACAACTGAGTCAGCTGCAGTTTATTTAGTATGTTTCTAGCTTTATAAAGAATACCGATGCATTTGGAAACTCTAGAAGAGATAATGTTAATGTGATGTTTCCAAGTTAAATTTTCATCATATAGATTCCTAGAAACTTTGTTACTTTTTCTCTTTTTATCATTACATTGTCAATATATAGTTCAGGTAACAAATGTGGTATTCTATGTTTTTTATAGAGTAGATAAAAAAGTGTCCATTTAGTTTTAGCTGTGTTAAGTGATAACCTATTTATTTTGAACCAATCAGAAACTTTTTTTAATTCATTTGTCATGTTGTTGAAAAGAATATTAATATTTTCATGAGATAGAAATAAATTTGTCTCGTCTGCAAAGATTATTTTTTTTAGGCTTGAAGTTTTATGAAGATCATTTAGATATATTATAAAGAGAAGAGGTCCAAGTATGGAGCCTTGTGGAACACCACACATTATATTCATTAACATTGAGACGAGGATTCTTTATTATAAACATATTGCTTACGATTTGTAAGATAGCTTTTTAACCAATTGAGAATGTTATCTTTTATTCCATATGATAATAATTTTTTTATTAGAATTTGATGGTTGACGGTATCAAAAGTTTTAGATAAGTTAATAAATACTCCTAATGTGAAATGAGATTTTTTAAAAGATTCTGAGAGGTCGCGCGTAAGTTGGAGAATAGCGTGTTCTGTTGAATTGTTTTTTTTAAAACCAAATTGGTTTTCGTATAAGATTTTATTATTAATTAGGTGGTCGTAAATTCAATTGAACATTATTTTTTCTAGTATTTTTGAAAAGACTGAAAGAAATGAAATAGGGCGATAATTATTTATGTTTGCATGATCTCCTGTCTTGAAGATAGGAAATACTTTAGCTATTTTTAGACAGTCCATCAGACAACATTCCTTGACTGATGGATGCTCTAAAGATTTTAAAAATAATGTGTTTTATAACATCACAAAAGTCTATTAAAATATTCACATTAATATCATCATACCGAGTTGTTTTATTTCTTTTTAATGAACTAAAGGCAATTTCAAATTCATCATAAGTTAGCTCAGTAAAGTGAAAACTTGAAGAAGTTGATGTTTGGAATTCAGCTGATTTATCGTCGGTATACGGAATACTGTTTGCTAGTTTTGTTCCAATTGTTGTAAAAAATTTGTTAAATTCAGCTGCAATATAGTTTGAGTCGTTAACTAGTTTGTTATCAATTTTTATTACATGTGGCAGAGAATTTGTATTTGTTTTAAGTTTTCCTGTAATTTCTTTCATTATTTTCCAGATTTGTTTCGAATTATTTGTATCTTTATTGATCAAGTAGGAGTAGTATTTTTTTTTGCATTTTTGCGAAGTTTTTCAAATAAGTTTTTATAGGTGATATAGTTATTTTTATGTTTTACTGATTTTGATTTTAAATATTTAATATATAACTTTTGTTTTATTTTCGAGGATTTTTTAAGACCTTTTGTAATCCAGGGATGATATGCCTTTTGTAATCCAGGGATGATATGCCTTTTGTTTTTACAACTGTTTCACACATAGGAAAATTTGTATCATAGACTTTATAAAATGTTTTAAAAAAAGTGTTGTTAATTGTGTTTATATTATTATTAAAGTTTAAATGTTCCCAATTTATTAGCAACAAATGTTCTTTGAAGGAGTTTAAATTAATGTTGTTGAACAACCTCTTTTTAATGGTGACACTTTTTTGCATTTCTTTTTTAAAGTCTAGATTTACTGAAAAAAATATAGGAAAATGATCAGATACATCTGTTTTAATTATTCTTTTTTTAAGCGATATATTAAAAAAGTCAGTGGTTGAGATATTATCAATTAAAGTGGATGAATTTTTTGTAATTCTTGTTGGTCGATTTATTATTGGTATTGTTCCTGTTTCAAATAAATTGTTGTAAAATTATTTTGATTTTCGTAATAATCAAAACAATCTAAATTAAAATCGCTAATCAAGTAATTTTTTTTATTTTCGAGATAAGTTTTTCTAGAATTTTCTTTTGTAAAAAATTGCTGAGGTCTTCAGTTCCTAAAGTTTCCTAAAGTGATTATTAAAAAATTTATGAGAGAATAAGTGGAAAAAAATCTTTATTTTGATCCTACTGTAAAATTGTGCTTTTGGAGTTAAGACAAGTTGGTTCTCAGGTACAGAAATAAAGATTGCGATTTACATTGTTCTTTTATTTATTAATTGTAAAAGACTTGTAAAAATTTGATGCAAAGCATTACTTGACTAGAAAAAATTCAGAAGGCCTTAACAACGACCAGTAAATATGATTCTTTTTTTTATAAAGAAAGTACTTCATAATTTTCTCATGGTATACACAACCTTGCTTAATATAAAAGCTAAAACAATGAAATAAAAAAAAGTATATAAAAATATCCAAATAAATAAAATAGTTTAATAAAAAAACAATATATTTTTAAAAAATATATTTATACCTGTACTAGAAGGTGTTGCTTAAGGGCGAACTGGTGTAAGTGCAAAGCAGTTTCGATTGACGTAAGTGAGCCGAGAAACTAAATGTCTGAAAAAAAGAAGTTTTCTAGAAAAAAAACATTTAATTACTTTGTCTTCAGAAAAAAAATTTTTTTACTGTGTATCAGATCTTAAACAGCAGAAGTTAAAGGTATCATTCAACCTTTCGTGCCCAAGATACATGGATGAATGTATCTTGGGCACGAAATATCTTTTTTGGGTACACCCTGTCACAAAACAAAAATCGTCCAGACATGGCACACAGATACCTTTTATTGGAAATAAATCTACTTGTTTTCCAGATTTGAACCCTCTGAATTTTTATATTAGGGCGTATGTTAATGTTATATTAGGGCGTATGTTTAAGACAATTTTTGTAAATAAAAACACCCAAATATTGGAGCCCTGAATCCTTCAATCGCCCAGGCCTGGTCCAACATGTCAACTGAAGTTTTGTTATCAAATTGAGGGTTCGATGAAAGCTAACAGTATTTATTATATTAGAACTGCTCATTACTAAACCATGAAAAATTTTTTGATGAAAATATTTTTTGTCGTTATTTTCTTGTTTAACTTTTGAAAGATCTTTAATGTTACAAGCCTAAATTTAGTTTTTGGTTTGTTTAAGGGCTCTGCGCAAAAACTTTGTGACCTTTTTTGTTTTGTTTAAACTTAGAGTTGCGTAATTTACGAACGGTTTCTTATTACAAGCGTTTGATACTTTAGAATACTGCACCCTTTAAGACAAATTAAAGCATTAAAGGATAATTAATAAACATATTAATGGAATAAAAAATATTTTACTAATAGAAATCAGCTTATACATTATGTCCAACCTTGAGTATTAAATATATTAAATGCAATCTCTCAAAAGTAAATTATTGATAAATCACCTGATGACTAAAAAATAAGTCAAAATTTAAATCAATTTATTGTATTTTACTCATAATCATGGAATTGAAATTTATAGAGAATTTAATACTCTATTAAAATTATATTATACTTTCAAAATATTAATTAAAATGACTACGTATAAAACAAGTTTGCGAGAAGACCTAAGAAAACGCATTTGCCAATTTAGAAATTCGCATCTGGAAATCCAAAAATATTCACAGTAAAATACTTTCTAGATGAAGGAGCATCAAAACCGACCATATATCGTACTCTAGAACGTATAGACAATAATTTAGGCTATCAACGAAAAAAAAGAAGCGGTCTAAAGGCGAAAAAAATAGACAAAAAGCACATAGACCAATTGAAAAAGGCATTTGATCATCATCACGGTGTTTTGCAACGTCAAATAGCTCGAAGATTCGATTGTGACCAATCGTATATATATAAAATTCTTAAAAACAAGACGAATATTAGATATTAAAAGAAGAAAAAGATTCCAAATTGAAGCAAAAGCCAACTAGCTCGAATCAAACCTTTGTGTTTGCATATATATTG